GCAGACATCAAATCATCTAAAATGTCTTCTCAAAAGGAGTGAGATTTTTAGGTCTCGTTTGGTACGCGGGAATGAGTGAGAATGGAATATCAATTATCACTTATTTTTTCTTCCACTAAACACAACTTTTTTTTTAAGTTGGAATGTTCATTCACACTTCTCATCAATTCTCACTTTATGTGGGAATGATCATTCACAATGAAATGATAGGGAATGAGCATTCTCACTTAAAAGTGGGAATCAATAAAATATAAAAATTTAAAATACTTCCGTTCCCACTTTATTTTATAAATTGCATCTAAACGTGAGAATTGAAATGTGTATTCTTTTCTCACATTAATTTCATTCCATTATTTAGCGCATTCCATTAATTTTAATCAGTTAATGCTTGGTTCTCCAACGCTCAAAATTAGGATCATAAGCAATAATAGCCAAAAAAATAATATGGGTCCACTAGTAAATTACACCATCATTAACTATGTCATTCATCCGCTATTAATGAAGTCAACCACGATACCCTTCTAGATCTAAATCTACGCGGATATGTTTATTGCCGACCCACAACAACTCAACCCGACCCGTCTGAAGCCCAGCAACAGGGGATAAGGGATATGCTGACGTGGCAATCTCGCATTCACCCGCCAAAGATGCCTCAACACGCAATTTAAAAAAACTAAACGTACAGCAAAAAAAAAAATTTAAGCAGCCCAAATTCCTCAAATCCAATCAATGGCAACATTACAAAGCTGGGTCTCAACTCTCTCCAACCAAGTAAAACACCCTAATTAATCAAGATTTCATTAAAGCCATCTGATTCTTAACGCTGTTAATTACTCTCTGGGTTTTTGTTTCAGTTGTCTTTGCAGAGCTTAGCATCAAATAATCGGTCTGCAGTAATCCATTCATCGGCCGTCAAGGCAAACCCAAGGGATGAATTACTTCAGAATGAAAATGGTGTGTGAAGATTCTCGGTTACGATTTAGTGATCGGTTTTTTGTTTAAAAGTAATTTATGGATGTTTTCAGATTGTTCAAAGAGAGGTCTGATTCTAGTTGGCATGGGAGCATTGACTGCGAGCATGCTGCCATCAAATATTGCATCAGCTGAAGGTACTATATTTCAATTTGATATGGGTATTTTTTTTTAAATTGTATTTCTCTCCAGATGATTAAACTTTTGTATTTGTGCAGGAGTACCAGACAAATACCAAGCTTTTGTAGATATTACAGATGGATATTCGTACTATTACCCCTCTGATTGGAGGGTAGGTTAATTTGCACTAAGATTAATATTTTAGTTACTCGATATTGAAGCTCTATGAAGTTTTATTAGCTTGATTTAGATACTTGAGTTATCTGACATTTTTTTTCGTGTAGGAATTTGATTTTCTAGGTCATGATTCAGCATTCAAAGATCGCTTTGCAGCATTGCAACATGTTAGAGTCGGTTTCATTCCAACCGAGAAAAAAGATGTTCATGATTTGGGCCAAATGGAAGAGGTAAATGGAATCATTTTGTACTTTATTTTACAGAGGAATCATTCATTTTCTGTATACACTCAAGGATGATGAAATTATATTTATCGTCGTAGTGTTCTTTATGCTAATTGACTTTCCCTCAATTGATCTAATTTTCCTGACCGAGATTATTTTTCGGATTGACAGGTCATTTTTAATTTAGTTAAAAACGTATATGCTGCACCAACTCAAGTACCAACCATATATGACATTCAGGAGGTAAGTCATTAATTCTACATACAGCTACGCTTCAAAAAATTTGGAAACACTGATGTACACAAGGAGTTGGGTTTTTTTCTTTTCAGAGAAACAATAAGTGAATTTTCATATTAGTTCCTCGAAAATTACACTACTATAGTTGAGCAATATTATTTCATCACGTTATGGAGTATCGTGTTAATGTGATTCATTGATCTTCGTATATTGAGAATGTTTTGGTATTTGTTCATGCAGCGAACAGTCGATGGAAAGAATTACTGGACATTTGAGTATGAACTTGAATCTCCAAACTTTTCCCGAACTGCGTTTGCAACCATAGCTATCGGCAATGGTATGTTCGGTTAACATATTGGTAAATTTGCTTAAAACATTGCTAGTTTATGTCATGACTGAGTCATTCATTTGGATTTTTACTTGTTCAAATTTATGATTAAGGTGTATATGTCTAAATTCTAATACCTGATTTTTTTGAAGGACGGTACTATACTTTGGTTGTTGGGGCAAATCAAAGGCGATGGAGCAGAGTACGGAATAAACTCAAGGTGGTAGCAGATTCTTTCAAGATGCTTGACATATGAAGTCAACAGGCTCATATATTAGCTGAGTTCAGCTTTGTGCGACGATCAGAAGCTTGTTTTCCTTGTGCGTATACTTTTCTTCAACCTGCATGTTCTGCAGAATTCGACAAATATGGCAATCATTTACATACGCTTATATCTTGTAATCACCAGATTCTGGGAATTTGCAGTTTTTTTTCCTTTTAATCTGAAAGA